ACCAGCAGTGCCATCAAACCCAAGCGCTGCTCTCAAAGCCCAGGGCTCTATAGCACAAGCAGAAAATGCCCACTGGCACCCACCGGAGCCACGGTCCCACCAGACCTCCTGCAAAGGCTGTGATGTTAAACGCCCCTTATGGTGCTTGGGATGAGGAATGCCAAAAACAAATTGCAGCAACAGGAGTGAGATTTCTAATTTGGGGTTGCGTTAGAACAAAAAAGCCTTATCTCACCAGGCCTTAGTATGGGCTAAAACCTCATAGTGCTTCCCCATTTAATAAAACCAAGAAAGGGAAGCAGTCAGAAATAAGTACCAAGGACTTGTATGTCCTCAGCAGTTTTTGAAGTGGTTTCTGCAGGGCAGCTGGAGCTGCATCGCACAGCAGCCTGGCTATTCTCTGCAAAACAAGCCCCGGATTTTCAATGAGCTGTCACTTCCTAAATCCCACTTCAGAAGTGATTCTGGCACTTGCATGTATTTGCAAATTGACACCCGATACGCTGTTGCTGACCTGGGCTTTTTGTGTCACTGGAAGCCCTGCATCGGCAAGTGAAGCTGAACAGTTGCCGGCTCCTGTGCTCCGAGGCATTGCCATCTCGTGCTTAGCCAGTCACGATCTTTAGCCACCTTAACCAGTTAAGATGCTCTCAGCTGCTTAAGAGCTAGAGAGAAGTTGCAGGGCTTGATTTACAATTGCAAAGTATTTATAAATCTGATTTACTGTCTAATTAAAAAAAAAAAATGGAGAAGAGAAACCACAAAAGGCCTGATCTCACGAATCTGCACCAACATCAGCTGTCTGTGTGTTGCTGGGGCAGTATGGATTTTCGGGGTGAGATCCTTTGTGTTTTAGGGGGAGACATGGCTTGCAACATGGCGTGCTCTTTACTTACTCCTTGGTAATGATGTTCTTGTGCACAACCGCAGTCCTGGGCTGAAGAGTGCACAAATGACACCCACATGGGGAGCCGGGTAACGCCGGTGATGGTTAAGGGGAAATTCCTCTAGAGACACCAAAGTAAAAACTATGCCGTACTACTCTGCATCCCCCTCTCAAAAAAAAAAAAAAAAGCAGCAAGTCTGCAGCACTGAAACTAATGAAGCTTGGCCTCCTGCGAGCCAGACCCTCTTCATTAGAAGCAAATGTGTGACGCCCTCACCCGGGGCCTCTCCTCCCTCTTGCCACCTAGTTTTATGGGACCTTCAGGAATGCAATTAGCGCCGAGATGTTTCCTCCTTTGTCAAACTGCCTGGCAGGCAGCCAAGGGGTTCAAAAGCTGCTGGGCGGCACAGCCAAGCTGCCCCTTCCCCAGCCCGGCTGCAGGCAGGAGGGAGGGCAGGCTGCCGGAGGGCTCTCTTCCCCTCGCCCGCAGCCACCCACATGTCAAAGCCAAAGGTCTGAATGCAACAGGGCAACTTCTCCATCCAGAGAAAAACTGGGAGCAAAGCGTTTCAAGGCTTTGGGAGGCGACTGCCTGCTTTGCCGGAGCATGATGCCGTGGATAACCCGGTTCCATCTCTTTTGGAGAAACAGAGCGCTTCTGCAAGCCATCCCTATGGCCCTTCCAAAAGCTGGATTAATGGTTTGAAACAGCCACTGTGGACCTGTTAACCGGGCTTGGGGAGCAGCAGAACAAATGCCACTTACTAGTGACTAAGTGGCATTGACTAAGGGTTGGGTGCAACTTGAAGCAACATTTATGACATGTTATAAATGACTCCTTTTCCCGCCTGCCTCACAGATGCAGGAGGCACCTTAAACCTCCCACTAACAGCAATCAAATTCTTGCTTCTCCTTCAGATTGTCTCCCACCCAAAATCTGCTTCATGGGGGGCCACGAAAGGACAGGATCCATACAAGTACTGTTTGCGGTCATCTCTCCTCTCAAACCCTGACAAAATGAGGTGCCAGTATTTATAAAGGGACCCAGGAATGAAAACGCTTTTGCTGGCCAAAGGACCGAGTAGCGTGAAACAAGAAGTGCAAAGTTTATTTCAGAGTATTTCAAAGCTGCTGTGGCTTTTGCCGGCAATGTGGGTTGTCTGAGTGCAATCTGCTGCCCAGCTCTGCGTTGTGGTTGTGACTCAGCCAGGACACTGGATCGTAAAAGGATGAAATCCCCAGGCTGGCTGGTGACAGGCTCATGGTGCCTCTCAGCTGAGGCATGCAAAAAGCACAGCCACGTACATGCAAAGCAGATGGCATGTGTGGAGTTTTACCTCTCAGCTTGGAAAACCCTGCTTGCTCCCCCGGAGCTCAGGTTGGGTTGGACTGGCTGCTCTCCTGCCTGCTGTGGCCAGGATGGGCGCTCAGAGGTTCATGATCCCATCTTGTTCAAGACGTAAATGCATTTAACAGGGGACAGCACAGCGCATGTGCTAAAACTGAGGTTGGGTTCCTTTGGGGTGAAAATGCTGTTCAAAAAACAGTCATTGGAAATGCACTGAGAGGCTCTAAGTGCCTTCTACACTACCAGAAAATTCATACAGTATAAAAATAGCCCTTGACAACAGTGATGAATTCCCCTCACGGGTCCAAGCCAAGCAATTCCCAAGCAAGGAAGGACACAGCAATGATCTGCAGCAAAACAACAGCTCCCTGCACGCTGCTTTTTTGGCTTCTGCATTCATTAAAACTTGTTGGTCTCCCCTCACAATGGGATTCAGCCTGCAAGAGTGGCAGGCACCAGGGTGCCGGAGCCTTTCAGGGACAGACGGTGTGCCCAGGAGAAGACAGAGGGGGGGCAGGGTGTCATTTCTTCCTCTTGCAGAAACAAAAGCAGCAACTGGATGCAACCACCCCGGGCGACATCTTGCACCCAAGGCATGACCCAAATTACCATGTCTGCTAAGTCTACATGTGCTGGCGGACCAAGACATTCAGTGCCGAGCTAAACACAGTCTTTTGAAAGAAGGCCCTATTTGTAGGGAGGAGAGAGCACGTGTCTGCTGGAAGCCACCAGAGATGCTTGTGTGGCAGAGGGCTGTTTGTTAGGGGCAGTTTTGGGCACAGCCCTGCTGTGCAAGCTCAGACACTTTTGGTGGGCTGGAGAAGCCTCAAGCCTCTTGGGCTGACAAAAATCACCTCCAAAATGTTATGTCATTGGCATGGCGCTTGCTCAGATTTAGCATCCTAACTGCTGGAATTTAAAAAAAAAAAGAAAAAAAGTTGACAAACGAACAGCAATAGAAATTCCAGGAGGCATAGGAAGCACCACCCCACGCAGCCATGCCAGACTCCATCCCACCTCTGGAGCGAAGAGGCCACTTGGCCTCAGCCTACCCTTTGTTTTCTTTCACACCTATGAAAAGGACTTTTAAATGACTTTTCAAAACTCTGGCAAATCCCAAACCAGCTATACTGCTCTTCCCAGCACCAGAAGCCCTCCCCAGGGACAGAAGAAAGCAGATGCAACAGAAGACACACAGCTTGTTTGCCTGTGGAGCAACAGAACTCTGGCTCTCCTGATGAAATGGAAATCCCAGTAAAGGGATGTCCTCCTCTCGCAATACCAACCACTGCACCAGTAACTTCCAGCCTCTCTTTAGCATCACTGCCCTGCTTGCTATTAAATATACTCCTGGGAGGGAAGATGCTACCAAAGCCATATGGTCATATGGAGAACGCCCAGGCAGTGTTGCTCTCCATTATTTCACAGTTGAGTTTATTTCTTCCCCCATCTGCCTTCAAATACACCTTTTTTTCCTGCTTGCTCATCCCTCTTTCCACTCCTGCATCAGCAGGGAGAGCTCCAACCCCCCTGGCCCAGGAGAGGCGCTGTGGGAGGTGGCACCTGCCTTTCTCACTGCCCTGCAACAAGGAGCCCCAGGGCAATGCCAAAAACTGGGTTATCACCTGCCCCACCTCCAGCAGCGCCAAAGCATCACTAGCCAGGCTATGGGAAAATGAGCACGAACATCCTCAGCCTGCCTAACAACATGATCATCTCACACAGCCAGAAACTTGCAAACGAAAGGTGTCCCATCACTCACTGCCCAGCTCAAAAACCTGCAGGGCAAGATAAACAGCAGGGAAAAAACTCACCGCTTCCCCGGAGAAAATGTGAAAAATAGCTGTTTTTCCAAGCTTACACTCGTTTTGGAAATTTCGTCCAAGATTTTCAGTTAAGGAAATATTTTACTTGCTTGAAAGCAGGCAGGTTTTAAAAAATAACCTTTTGCCAAGCTCCAACTGAGGGAATTATGTCCGAGGGCTAATCCAGGCAATTACATGCAAGGTAAATTATGTGACCTCAGACTGACAAAGAATTAAAGCCATTTTAGCAAACACAGCTAAATAACTCCTCTGCCTTTGCTAAGCAGAGCTGACTGGCTACATCATTCCCAGTGAATTATTTGTTTTCTCAGTGGGCAGAAAAATCTATACGTAAAATACCTTTAGGAATCTTCAACGCAGATTTTCTCTAATAAGCAACAAACCGAAACACAACCTTTCCTTTCACCTGCACTGCACCAGGGGATTACTTCAAATGCTTCATCTTTAAAAAAAAGGTTGTTTCTACCTACGCAAGGAAGGATGGCACGCGTAGAAGAAATCCAACCTTAAGAAGACACCAAAAAGCTTCAGCAGATTCAAGCCTGTGCTCTTTCCTAGAGATATACTCCAGTGTGCAAGAGATGTGCATGGTTACTTCAAAATAACAACACCAAAGCCAACTCTGCTCATCTCCGCGGGACTTGGGCAGAGGAGAAGCCTGCCAGGAAAGAGCCTTTCACTCGAATGCTGGAAACTCAGTTCTGGTGGGGTTAACGCCCTTTTTGCTCGTTAGTGTGGATGCACTTAAACCTCTGCCTCCTCGTTTCATAAGGAAAAGAAAGGGAGCGCAGATCCCTCTGGAAACAGGGCAGATTTCGGTGGGTGGGGCAGGCGCAGCCCCTCGCACACCCTGTACACACCAGCCCAGCTGCCTTCCCCGTTTTGGGGCAGTTTCCCCATCCCCGCGAAGCAGAGGGTGCAAGGGAGGAAAGGCTCGTACCTGAACAGAGGACTCCCTTGTACCTGGCGCAGGAGAAGTCGTCGCACTCGCAGAAGGGCCCGTAGATGTTTCCGAACTCGCTCTCGTAGCAGAGGCACTGGTTGCAGCTGCACTCCCCTCTCCCGCTGCAGAGGGGTTTGCCCTCCGCCTCCCGGCACATGGCGTGGTGCATGTCCCCGCTGGCACCCTCCTCGCACTCGCACCGGGCCCCCAGGTAGCCAGCGTCGCACTCGCACAGCCCGCAGGCATAGGTCCCGTTGCCGCTGCACTTGCCGCTGGCCGGCGCGGCAGGGCCGGTGCACCCGCAGAGGCAGTTGTAGGTCACTGCCACCTCCAGCGTGTCCCGAAAACCAGCGGGCTTGATGGTGAAGGCATGGGAGGTGTCCTCAGTGGGGCAGCTCCGCGCCTCCACGGCCACCTCGAAGGAAACCTGGGCGGGGGGTAGGTTGAGATGTAAGTTAACACACACGGCCTCAAAACAGCTGTCAAGGGTGTCCCGGGAAGGGAAGCAGGAGGGAAGGGCAAATGTCACAAAGAAAAGCCATGGAGCAACTCCTCAGAGTAGGACCATGCTCAGCACGTCAAGCTTCGCTCCCAAAAAACCCCCAAAGCAATTGCATGTCTAGTGAGGGCACCCGCAGCTCAATGCACCAGCATCTGCCAGTCCCACGAGGCGTTTGGCATCCTTAACGTTTTAAAACTCTTTACTGTCAGCCATCAGCAGTAGTGTTCCACATCAGGGTCCACTGGTTTCTGTGAAGCAGGAAGGAGCCCGCCTATTCCCATGAAATAACCAGGCAAAAATCAGGCAAATAGCCCGGTTCTCATGCTATTAAAAATAATAAACTCTGTTGAAACCAAGCACTAGCAAGGCCCTAACCAACACAGCACAAGGGCCCGAGGTGCCTACAGGATCATGGATTTAGAAGGTTTTATGGGAATCCTGATCTGCACACAGAGATATGCACCAGTCGCACAGCCAGCCCCAAGCTTTCGGCATGCTGCTAATGGCCCATTTCTGGTCAATGCTTCTGTTAAGACTGGCTTCAGAAGGGTTATGCATCATTACATGGTTATATATGACCCCCCTACTCATTTTCTGTTGCTACAATCCAGTGTCAGGGATTTTCTCCTTGGGAAAACCAAGACCATCCTACGGCCGCTTGCTTGACCCCTGATTTAATCCTGCTGTTTGGTGGGCGTCTCGGGCCAGCCAGCGCTGCCTGGAGCTGCTGGTTAGCAAAAAGGATTAACCTCATTCCAAGGAAATGAGCCCTTTTCCTAGGCATCAGGAGGGAATGATTTTTCTCTGGAGGCATTTGGGGTCACCTCAAGCTCTCACTGCCTGTGCAATCCCACTTGCCAGTGGGTGACATGTGGATGGATGGTGGCGCAGAGCCACCTCCAGCTGGGAGAGCTGCACCCCATGAAGCCTCCCTTGACCTCCTCCCATTCCCAAGGCCTGAAGCAATTAGGCAACGAGCTCAAATTACAGAGGAGAAGGAGATCAGAAAGCAAGCTAAGGGGATCAGGGTAATCCTGCTCCCTTTCACCCGCTGACACCCATGCCCCCAGGACTAAACCCCAGCAGATTAGGATCCAGTGCCAGTGTTATCCTCCTGGGGGAAACTTTCTTAGCAGGAGTCAAATCTTGATCCACATGGAAGTAATGGGGCTGAGAGCAGCTGACCAGGAGGGGAAGGAGGAATGGGACCCCTGGGATCCTGTGGCATGCCTGCCTGTACAGGCACCCCAACGCTCTGGTGCACCAAAAATGGGAGAGGTACCAGTGCTGGCTCTCTCCTGCACCCCAAATCTGCTGCTACCTGCGCAGATGTGCCCCAAATTCATCCAGATCGGGAGAGCCACTTGTTCCCGCTCACACCATCAGCCTCTGTGGGTACAGGCACATACGCACCCGCTGTCAAACCCTGTTATGGCAGGAGCCGCAGTGGCTGGAGTGATCCCCCTGCTCGTGCCAAAGCCAGGGGCCCAGATCAACCACCAGATTAACCCTGCTACCTCGGGGGCTCAGGACTTGCTGTGGGAACACGGAGGGCAGGTGCCTCACATGGCAATGCTCCGGGAATTGATTTTACCCACTGATGGGAGATCCACTAAACTCAGCTAAAAAAGCTGAGGCCACCTCCCTTTTTAACACTTTGCATGATCCTTACTTGGCAGGGTAAAAATCCAGCTACTGTTGACTCTTTCAAACTATTTTTATATGCCTCAGTGCTTAGAGCTCTGGTATGTTTGCAGAGCCATTCTTCTCAAATAAGGCAATCAGGCTGCTAACGAACACACGGCCACGTCCTCGCGGACAGCAAAAGCCCAGAGAAGGGAAGGGGGTTCCTCGCTGGTCTGAGCCCTCCTGCCCCAGCCCTGCAGCCCAGCAACTCATTTATCTATATGAATATTAAATTTTAATAAGCAAAGCTTAACTTCTCTGGTTTTGTATAAAAAAGCACAGGATGGATTATGCCGTGTATACTGTTAACGTCAAGGGGCAAACTGTATTTTTAGTCTGTTCTGCCATCCAATAACCCTAGGAACTGAACACAGGAGAGGAGGGTTGCTGCCTTTCTGAGCACCCTGCCTTTTTTTGCAATACCTCTGAAGTTAACCATGACCTCGTCACTCTGGGAAAGACAGGTTTGGATGGGGACTCAACCACTTCCCTGGGCAGCCCGTTCCAATGCTTGACAATCCCTTCAGTGAAGAAACTTTTCTTAATATCTGATCTAAACCTTCCCTGAGCCAACTTGAGGCCATTTCCTCTCATCCCATTGCTTGTTACTTGGCAGAAGAGACTGACCCCCACCTCACTACAGCCTCCTGTCAGGCAGTTGTAGAGGGCAATAAGGTCTCCCCTCAGCCTCCTCTTCTCCAGGCTAAACAACCCCATTTCCCTCAGCTCTCCCTGTCAGCTTTGTGCTCCAGACCCCTCACCAGCTTCATTGCCCTCCTCTGGACACACTCCAGCCCCTCTATGCCCTTCTTGGAGTGAGGGGCCCAAAACTGAACCCAGTATTTGAGGTGCAGCCTCACCAGTGCTGAGTACAGGGGCACGGTCACTGCCCTGCTCCTGCTGGCTGTGCTATTCTTGATACAAGCCAGGATGTTAATACAAGCCAGGATTCTCAAGCTTGAGTGATCCCCCTGCTCGTGCCAAAGCCAGGGGCCCAGATCAACCACCAGATTAACCCTGCTACCTCGGGGGCTCAGGACTTGCTGTGGGAACACGGAGGGCAGGTGCCTCACATGGCAATGCTCCGGGAATTGATTTTACCCACTGATGGGAGATCCACTAAACTCAGCTAAAAAAGCTGAGGCCACCTCCCTTTTTAACACTTTGCATGATCCTTACTTGGCAGGGTAAAAATCCAGCTACTGTTGACTCTTTCAAACTATTTTTATATGCCTCAGTGCTTAGAGCTCTGGTATGTTTGCAGAGCCATTCTTCTCAAATAAGGCAATCAGGCTGCTAACGAACACACGGCCACGTCCTCGCAGACAGCAAAAGCCCAGAGAAGGGAAGGGGGTTCCTCGCTGGTCTGAGCCCTCCTGCCCCAGCCCTGCAGCCCAGCAACTCATTTATCTATATGAATATTAAATTTTAATAAGCAAAGCTTAACTTCTCTGGTTTTGTATAAAAAAGCACAGGATGGATTATGCCGTGTATACTGTTAACGTCAAGGGGCAAACTGTATTTTTAGTCTGTTCTGCCATCCAATAACCCTAGGAACTGAACACAGGAGAGGAGGGTTGCTGCCTTTCTGAGCACCCTGCCTTTTTTTGCAATACCTCTGAAGTTAACCATGACCTCGTCACTCTGGGAAAGACAGGTTTAGATTAGAATCATAGAATTGTTTAGGTTGGAAAAGACCTTTAAGATCATCAAGTCCAACTGTTAACCTAACACTGCCATCCCACCACTAAACCATGTCCATAAGCGCCAGGGATGGGGACTCACCCACTTCCCTGGGCAGCCCGTTCCAATGCTTGACAATCCCTTCAGTGAAGAAACTTTTCTTAATATCTGATCTAAACCTTCCCTGAGCCAACTTGAGGCCATTTCCTCTCATCCCATTGCTTGTTACTTGGCAGAAGAGACTGACCCCCACCTCACTACAGCCTCCTGTCAGGCAGTTGTAGAGGGCAATAAGGTCTCCCCTCAGCCTCCTCTTCTCCAGGCTAAACAACCCCATTTCCCTCAGCTCTCCCTGTCAGCTTTGTGCTCCAGACCCCTCACCAGCTTCATTGCCCTCCTCTGGACACACTCCAGCCCCTCTATGCCCTTCTTGGAGTGAGGGGCCCAAAACTGAACCCAGTATTTGAGGTGCAGCCTCACCAGTGCTGAGTACAGGGGCACGGTCACTGCCCTGCTCCTGCTGGCTGTGCTATTCTTGATACAAGCCAGGATGTTAATACAAGCCAGGATTCTCAAAACAGTAACAAGAAAACCTTGAATATTTAACGGACCAGGAAAAGACCAGCAGATTGTGGCAATAAAAATTTCACTGGTGAGAGCGTGACGTGAACATCTGGGATTACAGGAAAAAAAAAGCCCATTCTTGACTATTGCATCCTGCTGCCTGATCAAGACCTTTTGGCTCAAGGTGCTGTAGGCAAGACGTCTGTATCCTGTCTTTCCTCATAGCTGACCTTGGGCTGTTTCTATATTAACGTGGCACAGCAAGAGGAGAGCAGAGGAAGATAAGCAAAGCCATATTTTATTGCCCAGGACCAGAGAGGTAAGCAGCTGCATGGGGCATGAAACAGCCTTTCGAGGGGACGGACAGCATGGCAGACTCACCGTATCTCCTATTTTGAGATCCCCACACTTCCTGAGCCCAGGATAGGACAATCCATCCTGGCAGGTGGCAGTGAAGGTCAAGCCAATGTCCTCAGGGCTGTCCCAGACCGTGAGCTCCACCTTGGACCGAATACTCTAGAAACACAAAAGGAAAGCAAACCATCAGGTTCCCAAAGAAGAAACCCACCCACCTCCTGATGTTTCCAGAGGGCAGCTAGGACATCACTGCAACTGCATGAAAAAAAAATACCCATGCACACACATTGACATTTGGGTTTGATTTAACCAGCTCAGGAGACTTCTGATGAGCCTAACTAGAGTCACAGGGAGCTGCCTACAGCCCCTGCATTATGCCCTCTAGGACAGATGTGATGACCACGGTAGCCAGCACTGAAAAGATATGGATGCACAAGAAAACATTCTTGACTGCAAATCGAGCATCTCTGAGCTGAAGGTCAGAGCCCCGTGCGCACATCTGCACCTCCTCCTCCCCCAAACCAGCCCCTTAGCGAAGTGCAAAGCCTGATTCTCCACTGGCAGTTGTCCTGTGACACCCATCATCCTGCACAGGGAAGGTGTGAAACTGCACTAACTCTGTCCTGCTTTCTTGATTTCACCCAACTGGTCAGAAAAATGTATTTTCCCTCTTTGGAGAAAATGCCAAACAACAAGTACCCTTTCGGACGCATCAGCTGGAAACACCACCATGGGAAAAAAATAAATGAAAAAATCTCCTTGAGAAACTTTTCAAAGTGAAAAACATTTTCCATCAGTGAGGTTTTGGTATGCTCCTACCCCCTTTCTTCTGCTTCTCATCTCTCTGCCCTGCTGCATACACAGACTTTTTAAGTCAAAACAAAATGAAGTTCATAAGAATTAATTTGGAATGAGGTTGTTTTGTTTCATTCTTCCAATGGCTGGAACTGATTTTTTTAGGAGTGGTATCCAAAAAAGACAAAGGTTTTCAAAATGGAGCTTTTTGTACAAATGAATTTATTTTCCAAAGCCAGCTTGAAGCTCCATCCCTCTTCCCCTTGCCCCCAACCCTCACCAAAGTGGCCAGATTAAGGAAGAGTGCTAATTCAGACCTTCTGCAAGTCCATATGATAACAAAACCAGGGTTCACACACCAGCAAAGAGCTAATGCTTTTGAAGATGGGCAGGAAATAAACGAGTTTTGGCCAGGTCAATCTAAACAGCTGTTGAGGAAAAAAAAAGGAATAATTTCCCATCTCTCTGCTGTAATGGAGGAGCCATTCATGCGGTGGCAATTTGGACCATACAAAGCATCCATTGCCTGCAGGATGAACACCACACATGCCGGTAAAGCTGAACATGCTGCTCTGCCCAGAATTATCCCACAGAAATTAGTTGTCACGCTGATACGCTCTCCCACCTTCCTGCCCAGAACATCTCACCTGGGGCACAGTGGAAGACAGGACACCAGGCCAGACCTTGCTATGACCTTGCAAGGGCTCTCCCTATGTTATTATACAGATGCCAAGGTTTCTTGTTAGCCCTATATAGTAATGCTATTAGCTTAACTGTAATGCTATTATTGTTAGCCACCTTGCACCGTTACACAGCAATACCTTCTCGCAGCACCGCAGCCACCGCTAAGGGTGACTGCGGGATTTTGCTGCTGTGCTCTTGGTGGCCCCCAGGCCTTCTGAACCTTCAGGGGTGAAGAGAGGATGCTGGAGAGACCTAGAAGAAGGACCTGTTCCTGAGATGTAACTATATGTCTGCTTAAAATAAAGCTGTCTGCTATAGCCCAGGGGAAATTCAAAAGTTTCAGTGCAAAAACAAGGAAATCCTGAACAGGCAGGGATGACTGATGTGAAGGCCACCTGCCGCCTGCCATGGGAAACCCATCGGTGGTGTAATGAGAAACACATCCGAGACCTGCTTTCCTAAACCCTGGACTGGGTTTAGGAAAGCAGTTTTAAGCCAGCATCCCGCTTGCTCCCTTTGGTCCAAACCCAGCCTGTGTGCCCAGGCTGAGATGCCCCCTCACCACACCAGCCCGGGGACACCCCCCAGGAGCCTCTCCAGCTCCATCTTCCAGGCGTGGTGAGTTCTGGGGGAAAAGGGTTTTTTTCTTAGTGAGGACAGAGGAAAAAAGCTGTTCCTGTTCTCTTTTGTTTCACGCCCTTGTGGCTGAGGGAGGGGTGACAGCACATTGGGGCAGAGGAAAAAGGGAGACAGAAGATGATGAGATGGGGGAAAGGGATATCAGGGGTAACACAAACCCTGAGCAAGTCTGATGTTTGGATCGGGGGAGGGAAGCAGATGAGAGGGGACCAGAGATGGCCAAAGCACTGAGGGGGGAGAGTTTGAGCCTGGGCCCAGGGCACCAGCCACTGCCACCTCGCAGGAGAAGATGGTCCCTGGTGCAGATGAAGGCTTTCTCCAGGCTCAGAGTTTCCTTTCTGTGAGGAATAAAAAAAGGGTCATTCCCGCTTGGGAAAGAGAAATTTTAGCCTTCTCCCTCATTGGGAATTTCCTCCTTCATTTCAGGAAAAAACAAAGCTACTGAGAGGAGACGTGCTGGGCGGGCACCAGGCTTCCCGTGGCCCCAGGCTGCCCACAGCACAGGCAGCAGCCGCCACCTCCTGGCAGCATGCCCAGGGGTCCCAGCCTGCACCCACCACCCAGCTGAATGGGCAAGAAACCAGCCCCGGTCTCAGCAACAGTTCATCCCGCGCTGCTCCTTCTGTGGGGCACCTTGGTCTCAGTATCCTGGTGGTTTCGAGACGGAGGGAGCAGGGGTGGGGGCATCAGACCCCTGGCAGCTTTCATCAGCTTATATCTATCAGCAAAGGCTTGGGGGGTGGTGAAACGGAGGCATGGATGCATGTTACAGCTGGGAAACTGAGGCAAAGAGAAGTTTTCATGCTGCAATGCTGAGACCACATGCAAAGCCAACGTGGAGTAAATGTTCATTTCCTTCTCCCCAGCCAAGCTTCTTAGCCACAAGACCCTCCTTCCTCAAGAGGACAAACTGGGACAACTGGGCTTTTGTTTTGCAGTATCTCCAGGGCCTCATTAGCAGCATTAGCTGCTCATTGCCTTTCCTCAGAGGCTGAAGTTTTGGGAAGCCCTCTTCCCAAGGGCATAACCAAATGCTGCTTTAACTGCAGAGAGCTGTGGGGGAAGGAAAGATGAACGTTACAGGTCAATGAACGTCACAGCACAATCCTGCATGACCTCTGGATGTGTAAACTCCTCCAAAAAAGTCCTTCCTCACTCCCTTGCCCTAATGAGCATAGTACCAAGAAGAAGGGTTGGCGGCCGTCGAAAGCTGTGTTCACAAGTCCCATGCATGAGGAACCCTACCTGAAGGCTGACCCATTACAGGGTCAGACCTCCATGCCCAGAACCTGAACAGCAATATCCTTCCAGGAGTATGAAGAGCCGACCCATAACAATTCAGGGAGAAGTCAAGAGCAATGTTGACAGCTAATTGCCCAACGAATGTGCAATTTAGCTGCTTCTAATTGATCTGCTCCCCTGATCTCCATGGAGATGGACAACATCAGGTCAGCAGTAAAACTGCAGGTCCCTTGCTGTTCTCTATGGGCCCTGGCACGGCAGGGCAGGCTGCACTGGCCATGCCACGTAGGCAGGGCTCCTTTGCAACCCAAGAGGCACGGGTTGCTGAGGACCAACTTGGGCTGCATGGAGACCAACACAAGGATGCAACCTTAGCCAGAGGTCAGCCACATCCTTGGGAGGCCTCTTAATATCAGACAGCAAAGAAATAATTTATTTTACCCACTGGTAGGGTGCTCTGAGAGAGAACTGTTTGAGATTGGGGCTGTATTTTGAGGGTAATTCTGCACATGTGGGATAACATCTCTGCTGTGCCACAGGCTCCCTTGGGCATCCCTGTGCTCCTTCTCCACCTCACACCTCTCGTTTCCCTCCCCAGGGCGGGCGCCCCAGCTCCGAATATTCTTGGAGTCTTTGTGCAAAATCTCCACTGTTGTCCCAGGAATCAAGGCAGTAAAGTTCTTAAACAAAACAAAAAATGAAAGAGAATGCTGAGACGCAGAGGGGAAAGCAGAGGGTGAGGAGGGACCGACTCCATGCCAGGCACACTGGCCACGCACCCTGCCCCATCGCCTGGTGGTGTATGTGGTATGGCTTGGCTCCCATTAACGTTGAGTCTTTGAAAGCAAAGCATTGCTAACGCGGCACGCCAAACGCTAAACAAAGCTCGTGGCCGTGGGACAGGCACTAACGGACCTGGGTCTGCTGCCGGAGGGGGCGAGACCCAGCCACCGT